GAATTCTGAATAATAGGTCAACTTTAACATCTCCAAGCTTTGTTGGTCCTAAATTGGACACAGATTCTGGGCCACCTTTAGAGACTAGATTTTGGAATGGGGACTAGATGATTAACTGTCCTATTACAGTTACTGGGGGAGTTTAGCTGGTGTGTAGCCGTTTAAAATGTTCACAGATCAAACACAGTACAGGAATAGAACAGCCTGGCTCAACATTATATGATTTTGACAGCTACAAAAACATCTTACCATGTCTGTGTAAATATCAATTGCTGCGTTTAAGCACTTGATAGCCTCTAATCGCAAGCATTAAAGAGAAGGAGGAGGAAGAGTTAGACAGTCAGATAAATAAAACTGAAATTAAACAATTGAGTGGATTCTAAGCAGTCAATATTAATAATAACAATAATAATAATAATAATAATAATAATAGACTTCTAACAGCCAAAAGGTTTGGGATCAGTTCATAAAAAAATGATGATTAAATTAAGTAAGTAATTTAATGTACTTAAGTACATTAAGTAATAGTCAAGAAAAATTAAAACCTATATTTCACCCATAAACTGTTTGCATAACTGTTTTAGCATAACATATCTGTAAGTGGCTAATGGCATAATTTTGACACCTTCGCTGTCTGAAAATGCCACTAATATTATATAGAAAAATTTATTACATAAAGTATCATAAAATAAAATAAAATATAATATAATATAATATATATATATATATATATATATATATATATATATATATATATATATATATATATATATAAATAATTTATATAAAATATATAAATATATGTCTCTTTAAGCATTATATAATACATTAATGCTTGTTAAGCTATAAACAGTTTCAGTTATTGTTTTTAATAAAAGATAAAACTATGAAAAAACCTATTATAAACTGTCATATAAACAATTCTAGTAATAACAAAATATTGGCTAAAATAAAGAGGATATAAAAAGAAATAATTTAAAATATAAGTATAAATTGTAATTTATTTAATTATAAAAATTGTATATAAATATACATATACAATAAATATATAATATGAAAATAGATTTGCAAAAACATTATTAATATCATCCTAAAATAATACTTATAATAACATAAAACATTGGCTAAAATGAAGAGGATTTCAAATAAAAATATAAAAAAGAAATAATTTAAAATATACATTTGAGTTGTAACATTTAACTAAATGTAAAAATTAAATATACAAATAAAATAAATATATAATATGAAATATAATAGGAAAATAATTATGCTAAAAGGTTATTTATGATCATACTATAATAATACTAATAATAACAAAATATTGGCTAAAATAAAGATGAAATCAAATAAAAATACCAAAAAAAAATGTAAATACATTTATTTAAATATAAAAATTAAATATTATAAATAACATAAAATATTGGCTAAAATGAAGGGGATATGAAATAAAAACAATATAAAATAAAAAAGTATCATTTAAAAATAAAAATTTTATTGTAACATTTATTTAAATATAAAAAATAAATATAAATATAGAAAATGCATATATAATATGGAATATAATAAGGAATATAAAAATGTATTTATAATCATACTACAATAATACTAATAATAACAACATAAAATATTGGCTGAAGTAAAGAGGATATTAAATAAAATATTAAATAAAAAATTATTATTTAAAATATAAATTTAAATTGCAACATTTATTTAAATATGACATTTGTATATAAATATACATATAAATCAAATATTTAATATGAAATATAATAAGAAAATAGATTTGCAAAAAAATTATTTATGATCATACTAAAATAATACTAATAATAACATAAAACGTTGGCTTAAACTAAAATGATATCAAATAAAAATACAAAATAAAATAAATTATTTAAAATATAAATTTAAATTGCAATTTATTTCTTTTGAATTTGAATAATTTAATATACATATACATATAAAATAAATATATAATATAAAAATAGATTTGCAAAAAAAAAGTATGATCATACTAAAACAATACTAATAATAATAATAACATAAAATATTGGCTAAAATAATGAGCATATCAAATAAAAAAATATATAAAATAAAATAAGAAATAATTAAAAATACTAATTTAAATTACAACATTTAAATATAAAAAATATACACATATAAAAATAAATATGAAATTAAATATAGTATAAAAATAGATAAATAGCTAAAACTAATTAATTATTATGAAATGCAGTCAGGCATCATATATTCATCATCATTATCTGCTCTTTCGGAAAAAAACAGCTTTGTGATACATTAACGAAGCTGAGAGTAATAATCTTAGTCTTCACCTTGTGGATCTGCTTTCTTGAAGGCGTTTCCAGCATCAACGTAGCTGGTGGCAGAATCGTGTTTATTCTGAAGCTGCATATGAATTCTGGCTGCCTGACAGAAAGCATTGCCTGCAGCTGGGAAACAACACACAAACATCCTCAGTATTAAGCACATATCATAATACATCCTTTCAAATAAAGATGGGTTTTACTTAAAATAAAAAGAAAAACACAAATGATTTTAAATGAATAATGATTGTAATTATATTTACAATATTGTATGAAAATGGATCAAATGAAAAATGGTGACCATTTAGTCAATTGAATGTATGTTGGCTACTACTGACCTACTTTAAAGGGACAGTACACACAAAAATGTGACCCTAGACCACTGTTTCTTAACCTTGTTCCTGGGGGCACACCAACAGAACTCCCTTATCTGACCCATAAACTTCATGTTTTGGAGTATCTTCTTATGTTCTAGTCAGTTGATTTAGGTGTGTTTGATTATGAAGAGGATGAAAAACACTGCCCTAGATCACAAAACTAGTCTTAAAGGGATGGTTCACTCAAAGGTGAAAATGTACTCTATGGGTTGTATTTTGATGATCAAAGCGCAAAGTCTAAAGTGCATGGCGCAAAAGCATTAAAAGTATGTTCGAATCCACTTTTGCTATTTTATGGAGGGAAAAATACACTCTGTGCCATGGTGCATGGTTTAACAGGGTTGTTCTTATTCTCTTAATGAGTTATGGGTGTTTTGAGCTAAACGTATATTAAACCAATCAGAGTCTCATCTCTCATTCCCTTTACGAGTCAGTTGCATCGGCCCATGGCACATTTGGTATTTACATGGTGGACTTTGGAAGTGAAAAAACTGAACGCTTCACTTGACAGAAAACAGTTAAACCGACCATCTGCAGCACAAGGATAAAGAACGAGCCTCCTCCATTCAGCCTCTTTACTTTTACTAATTACTTTACTGCTTTACTCTAGTCGAGTAAGAAAACGGCGTTGTGTTATATCCAAACACACGATCTATTCTTATGCCCCATATAGTGATGCATACATCTTCAAAACCCGACAGGTAGACGAATCTAAACTTGTTTTTAGTAAAACAAATATAAATATGCGTAGAATAAATTTGGGCTGAGCAATTAATCAAAAAGTGATCGGCATTCAGAACCTATTATCGATAAAGTTTCTCCAGGTCGTTTTTTTAAATTAATTTCCCTACAGTGTGTGGAGTCACATGACCCTGCTTTGTTTTTTTACTTCTGCGTCAAACACACATGTGGTCCGGCACAGCCTTTGCGCAGTCGCATACCCCTCATTGTGGCTGACGCTGACAGTAAAGTTATTTATTTTTAATTTTTTTTTTTTAAGAAAGAAGTGACTGTAATTTCAGTTATTCAATGTTGATGTTTAATAAATTATCACAGATGGTAGTGTGCGTTTCCTTCAATTATTTTAAAATCAAGTAATGCACCCTTCATTCAAAAATCTCTCCTTTGTTATAGTATAAAGCACATTTACTGCATAAAATAAAAACTGTAAGGGGAAAAAAATTAAATAAATTAAATAATTGTTCATTAATCATAATCGAGTTAAGCAATGTGTAAGCTTTTAGACCTGCATAGGTGCATAACTAACCGATCTGCGCTGGACTTTAGACCTGCTTTTAGTTGGTTAATAGCGCAGTAAATTTCTGTTCCTCCAAATAGCAACACGTCAACAATGCACCTTAACACACCTTATTTTTAGACCAGCACACCCATGCCATTTAAACAATGTTACACAAAACATGAAAAACACAGTTGCGCTGGTCTGAAAATATCAACAAATCGCGCCATACACCTCTTGCGCCGGTGTATGAAAGGGCCTATTAATTTCTGTCCCTCAAGTGGTTACAAAATTGTTTGCCTTTCTGTCTTTTGTTACATGATCAAGAAGATATTTTGAAGAAAGCTGAAAACCTGTAAACCTTGACTGTCATAGTAGAAAATGCAAATACTATAAAAGTCAATGGTTACAGGTTTTCAGCTTTTTTTCTTAAGCATTTAACAAAAGAAAGGAAGGCAAACCATTTTGAAACCACTTGAGGGAGCGT